CCAGACAGATGGCTCCACCCCATAAGTGGGGATACGAGGAGACAATCTCTAGCGATAGAACGAGTTAAGGAGAAGAGACATCTGTAACCAATGACCTCATCTTCCATAAAAAATACAATGCATAGTCACATGTCATCAAGAGGTATATCTCCGTAAAATTCTGATTGTCTTAAGATCAAAGACTCGGTAATCTTGTTTTTTAGAATAAATAAACTAGATTATGGTATATAGTAGCAGTCATGCATATGTGTATGTGTTTTCTATTTTGCAAGTTTCTGTGGTGTTTTTCCGATAAACTTTATTTTCTGTTGGTAAATTAGCTTGAGCATCGGTGAATGAAACAAAATAACATCGATGTCACCAGGACGACAAAAGTCTGTGAGCAGAGATACGACATCGAGGTAAACTTCCTCTACACAAAAGTAATTAGTAATATCCAAGGGGATGAGAAACTATAGAACCTTCCTAAACAGTGGACCGTACACAGAATCACGTGACCATTACATTTCTTTCAATAAATTGCGGATATACCAAAACTATAAAGTACTTGATGTTGACACCATACATGTATACAGGTACGGTGCCTTTCTGAAGAGTGAGATTATTTTTCTGAAAATCTTGTCTTGAAACCTAGCGCCGCCTACTAACATTAGACATGAGTTATGCCGCCAGTACATCTGCCTGGGGACACTGATATTTACTTATCACAGTATAAATATCCTATTTCTACACAACAAGATGCCTGCTTTCTAAACCTACATTGTGCGATGTTTAAACATGTTATTGAAGCTGGTTCGATATCTAAAACTTTCACCCCAGTAATGAAATGTTTTTGGTGGGAGAAGTTGACCGCTCTGACGGAGATTCGGGTTGCCTGAGATTGGACCGTTGTGGTGCGATGTATGATCGTCATTCTGTTAGTATTGTTTGTGATGGTATGTTGTTACTCTTTAGTAATAACAACGCTTAATGTAATGATTACTACATTAACCGTTATCATCATATCGAGAGTTTCAACAAATCAAAAAGTAGACTGTCACATGAGAGAACGAAGGACAAACACGACGACTTAAATTTACACAGATGTTATCTAATTGTAAACGATGAATGTCTCGATCAGAATGATGTTTGCTCGGAAACGATATATAGCGTACTTAACAGCTGTATGATATCGGGTGTAATGTGTTTTATTATTTGTTAATAATAAACATTTTGTTTACTATAACGTCTGATCCGAATTGATCACATTTGATATATAGATAAGAATCGTTATGTTTAGTATACGTCTCAAGACTGACCCTGGGATAACATGTCATCGAATTTTATAAGTCAGTCACACAGTTATAATCATTTTTCCCTTCGGAACTTGTTTCGTTGTCGTATCCTTGACGTGACGTATTTACCTTGAATAACCTGTATAAAATGAACATTGATTTTCCGGGTGGATATAAACCTTTTGTCTCTATACAATATATACATATTCAATCTTTTCTCAATATTAAATCCAAGCTTTACTCTAGCGAAGAATCGAATAGAAATTCATTGACAATAACAAAGCAATGATAACAGTCTGATGCATCAGGAAGCAGGAGGGACTATGGTCCAGGTATGTTGTATCATAGGACAGATTCCACACGCTCTTATGTCACCACCAGGTATACTTTACACGTTACCCTACCCTACCGGATGTGTCACCCTCCAGGACTGGTGTCATCTTCGTTATGTAGTGAATAAGTGGAAAACAAGTTTGGCTTTATTAACTGCATACCATCCCTAGTCATCTTTCCGTGGTTCTCATCCTGCTTCCTGCACGCTCTACAAACACTTCTTTAAACTTTAAACGCTATTAAATCCCTTGCTAAACATTCTCATATTATTTCATCAAGGATTTCAGAAACAAATCATTACTACGATGTCAGAACCAACAAGATGTGTTTATAAAATACTAGGCCCCCAGTTGCAACAAAATTACGAAGTGGACCATTAAAACTGTATTGTGTAAGACATTATGCTAATTGCATGAACCTTTTCACGGTCAAGGTCACATAGTGATTTTTGTACCAACGGAAAGGTCTTCTCACAAGGATAATCGGAAGTACAAATAATCTCAAAACAAGTGGAGAAACTGTGGAGAAATGTAGTTTTCATATATATATATATACTATGTACAAAAGGGCTTATAACAATATTACTGGGGCTGAGGGCTTGTATGGTAATAGTATACCATACAAGCCCTTATCCCCCAGAAACATTGTTATAGGCCATGGGAGAATGAACATCTTGTTATAGGCCATGGGCGAGTGAACATCTTGCTATAGGCCATGGGCGAGTGAACATCTTGTTATAGGCCATGGGCGAGTGAACATCTTGCTATAGGCCATGGGCGAGTGAACATCTTGTTATGGGCCATGGGCGAGTGAACATCTTGCTATAGGCCATGGGCGAGTGAACATCTTGTTATGGGCCATGGGAGAATGAACATCTTGTTATGGGCCATGGGCGAGTGAACATCTTGCTATAGGCCATGGGCGAGTGAACATCTTGTTATGGGCCATGGGAGAATGAATATCTTGTTATGGGCCATATCATCTTGTATGGGCCATGGGAGAATGAACATCTTGTTATAGCCCATGGGAGAATGAATATCTTGTTATGGGCCATGGGCGAGTGAACATCTTGCTATGGGCCATGGACGAGTGAACATCTTGCTATGGGCCATGGACGAGTGAACACCTTGTTATGGGCCATGGTCGAGTGAACATCTTGTTATAGGACAACGAAAACAAAAACAAACAAAAAACTAGAAATTGTTGTTAACAATTTGGCGGGCTTTTCACTTCTTTGGCGACAAGTTGACCGGAAGTTGACATTTATCCTGATAACAATATATGAGAAGATTCCTCGTTTGTTAGTCTCTACAACATATCCAAAGATGAACTTTGAATCTTGAAACGTTAAGGAGATATAACTACATAATAACGAAGAAATACACTTTTTAAAGGTTCAAACATATTTGACCCCTGTGACCTTGAATGTCGGTCAAGGTTATCCATATTTGCAAGCCTTATAATGTAACATCTGATAATCAATATATCACCAATATTAGTTCTCTAGACCTTGTGAGACTTGACAAGAAGATTGTTGAACACTGGTACCCTATTTTGTATATTTGAACTTTGACACCTTTGGGAAACCGGAAGTCGACATTTTGAGGGAAGTTTTCCTAATGACAATCACTAGGAAGTCTCTACAGAAGGTTTATAATCAATTTTCATCATTGTATGCCTTCTAGAAATTGAGAAACTTTCATTTAACGATTTTTAGTTAATTGACATCTGTGACCTTGAAAGTGGGTCAAGGTATATGCTGAGACTGTCCTGTTATATGTAAGAAAATCAGCATTAATGTTATATTTAAGAGAAAAATTCGTAGAAAGAAAGATGGTTCCAGGGGTAAAGAGGGAGAAAAAGTGATTGTAACCCTTGGGGTATCGAGGATGATTCCAGGGGTAAAGAGAGAGAGAGAGAATGTGATCGTAACCCTTGGGGTATCGAGGATGGTTCCAGGGGTACAGAGAGAGAAAGTGTTTGTAAAACCCTGGAGTATTGAGGATGGTTCCAGGCGTACAGAGAGCGAAAGTGATCGTAATCCTTAGAGTATCGAGGATGGTTCCAGGGGTACAGAGAGAGAAAATGATTGTAAAATCCTAGAGTATTGAGGATGGTTCCAGGGGTACAGAGAGCGAAAGTGATCGTAACCCTTGGAGTATCGAGGATGGTTCCAGGAGTAAAGAGAGAGGAAGTGATTGTAAACCCTTGGAGTATTGAGGATGATTCAAGGGGTACAGAGAGCGAAAGTGATCGTAACCCTTGGAGTATCGAGGATGGTTCCAGGGGTACAGAGAGAGGAAGTGATTGTAAACCCTTGGAGTATTGAGGATGGTTCAATGGGTACAGAGAGCGAAAGTGATTGTAAACCCTGGAGTATTGAGGATGTCTCCAGGGGTACACAGAGAGAAAGTGATCGTAACCCCTGGAGTATCGAGGATGGTTCCAGGGGTACAGAGAGCGAAAGTGATCGTAACCCTTGGAGTATCGAGGATGGTTCCAGGGGTACAGAGAGCGAAAGTGATCGTAACCCCTGGAATATTGAGGATGGTTCCAGGGGTACAGAGAGAGAGAATAATTGTTACTCCTAGAGTATCGAGGGTATATAGATTAAGAATTCAGGACCTAACAACTCATCTCGTCCTTACAAGTCCTCGCACAAAAGATTATCATCATGGATTTTGTCAAAGGCATTGTACATGTATACATGGTCCTTCCATCGATTACAGACTTTCTTCCACAACTCATCCAAATATTACAACTTTGAGGTAACACTTTCTCTCACAACTCACTATTAGATTAGTTGTGTGAGAAAGTGTTGCCTCCAAGTTGTAATATTTGGGTGAGTTGTGTGAGAAAGTGTTGCCTCCAAGTTGTAATATATATAGAATATTACAACTTGGTGGAAAAACGTTCTCACACAACTCACCCAAATATTACAACTTAGAGGCAACACTTTCTCACACAACTCACCCAAATATTACAACTTAGAGGCAACACTTTCTCACACAACTCACCCAAATAGTACAACTTAGAGGCAACACTTTCTCACACGGCTCACCCAAATATTACAACTTGGAGGCAATACTTTCTCACACGGCTCATCCAAAATAGTACCACTTGAAAATTGTCATTAAAATTTCGCCTACTATAAATTGTTGTATTAAATAAGTGATATGTCTGGGATTTTATTATGCTCGGTATAGTTCTTGCGGAACATAAAAAGTAGGTACCAAAACACACTGTGCACCGGTAACTGCTGCCCTTCGAATGCACCTGTCACAAAACGCGACCACTACTTCAGTTCGATGACACCTCAATGGTAACTTTAAGTTGGGGACTTTTTTTAATGAACTTGACATACACCTGTACACATCTCACAAATCACTTGTTATACGAGTAAAAAGATAGGACGATATTTTAAAATCAAGGAGACGTCTGATATTGCTTGAAAAGTAGCGGAGACAGGTAAGCAGTTTTGCTTGATTACTTTCAAAGGTGGAAGAAATAACTGAGCGAAGTTTGGCCAGGTATACCCAATAATCGTTTTAAAGGGCATTACATTTTATATACCGTACATGGTATATTATCAATTCATTTTCCGTGTTTATAGTTGAGCATCGCCCGGTGTTTTCTTGACTTATTGAAGCAAATTTGTGCATGCAGCGCCAATACCTAATAAGTATCGATCGTGAAGTGTCTTTAGATCATTTAAAAAATATTTTGTTGAAGTCCTATATAATGACCTTTGGTATATCCTAACCGGACAGAAAAACAACATGGTTTAATAGTTGAGGAGTATTTGCCTAACATATAACATTTCTCAATGATGTACATTGTAAGATGTTCTGAGAAAAGTGTATACTTAAAAACACTTCAAACAACTTCCTCAAACCAAAAGAACTGAAAAAAATCATATATTAAATCCACCTGCTCCATGTACATATGAGAACAATGTCAATTTTGGAAAATATCTGTGTGGGAAATAGAGCAGTGTCTTTCATGTATATTGATTTATGTAGTCATCCATTACTTTCAGTCACAAGATTGCCATGACAGAACCCCAGGGTGAATACGTGTGTACCCTGCCTCCGGAGCTGGTAGAGAAGGCAGAAAAGGAACTCAATGAAAAACCTCAATGGCGAAGCAGAGACATTCAGGCCCTCAGGGACATGGTTCTGAAACAGAGAGGTTTGTGGCATGGAACTAGATGTTGTGCTTTGTTATATTAGTTCCTTGTCAGAGTTTCCTCTGACCCCAACACTAGACAACAGACATTTTGACAGATAGCTGTTTACCTTGATATGACTTTATTTTGATATAAGATTAATTTGTTAAGAAATGAAATGTAGAGCGAAAATTGTATTTTAAAGTGATTTGAAAATATTCTAATGTGTTATGCATAGTACAGAAACATCAAATTTGTATTGTTTAGTTAGACTTAATGTTTTTGTTAATTTTGGATGTTTGCTGAACAAAAACCATTTGAGCAATACAAACCATTATTATAAATGTAAATGTGATACACCTAGCACAGAAACTATATTAAGTTATCATTCTGTGTATTCGCTTATGTTAAGTATTTGCATATTGATAATTTCCAGATTTGAAAGTCCGCACTGATGATGCCTTCCTATTGCGATTCTTACGTGCCAAAAAATTTGACTATGACCGAGCATTTCAGCTGATTATGACACATTACAAAATGAAGGTCGAAAACAAAGAAATTTTTACCAATTTACGACCATCAGCTGTGAAACATGTGCTGGATGATGGAGTGACAGGAGTTCTAGCCAGCCGTGACAAAGAAGGCCGCCCTGTTATTGTATTGCGACCAGGTTGGATTTTTATAAATCGGGACACCTGAAAGGCTAGAATAATTTCTGTTGATTTGAAACCTATTTCTGAACTGACCCCTTAGCATGGTTAAACAGGGTTAAAATGAAAGGTTGCTGTTAAGTTTTAGATCAGAGGTCATTGTAAGATCTAAGATGAGAGGTCACTGTAAGATCTAAGGTGAGAGGTCACTGTAAGATCTAAGATGAGAGGTCACTGTAAGATCTAAGATGAGAGGTCATTGTAAGATCTAAGATGAGAGGTCAGTGTAAGATCTAAGGTGAGAGGTCACTGTAAGGTTTGTCACTGTAAGATCTAAGGTGAGAGGTCACTGTAAGATATAAGGTTAGAGGTCACTGTAAGATCTAAGGTGAGAGGTCTTTTCACATTCATAAGAAGACTGACATTCACTAATTTACATTTTGTTACTTTCCTGTGTGTTATTCCAGTAAAACTCTATCCTACATCAGGACTCCAGGGTTTGTTTACGGGTATGACCCATACAATTTCATCGATCATTTAATTAGAAATCAGAGGCAGGAAACAGAACCAAAGATAGAAGTGGTTTATGGCAGACTCTTGGAGTTTAACAGACTTTTTCCGAATAGCACTGAAAAAAATAAATCATTAACAAAAACCGTTATATATACATTTACAGGTAAATGGGACGTTAGTCGATATGGATTGGATGACATTTTCCGTACCAACTTCATGACCTTGTCAAAACTTATAGAGGTAAATATTTTGAAAATAAATAATTATGAAGTACTCGTTTTGGAGAAAGTCAGTATTTACAAGCAGTAAAATCAACATCTGAAATTGTAAACTTTGTAATATATCTGTGGTCACTTCTTGTTAAAATAAGACTTGATGATTTCTTTTTAATTGTCATTATGTTTATGTAATATAATTGTGATGGTGTTGCTATTTGCCTCAAAGTTATTGATAAATCTTCACAACTTCTCGGTAAGTTGATGGTGTCAAATTAGTGATCAATTATAAGTTGAATGAGAAATGTATTTACAAAATGACACAAAATGGGAGACATTTTTTCAAATCTTTATTTTGTACTTCTTTGACAGGATGAAGAAACACAGGTTAATGGTTTGATAATGGTCATTGATTTAAAAGAGATGGGCTGGAACCATGCAAAAAATGTATCTCCATTTTATGCCAAGCGTGTTGCTAGCTTATTACAAGTAAGATTTAATGAACTTGACATATTTTTTGTAAAGATATTGTCAAGTTTATACAGTTAAAACTTCAGTGTTGAATATAATACAATTATTGACATCAACAGTGGATTTTTTAGAACCTCAGAAGTTGATCTATTATTGCTGAATGTGATTGGAGACAAATATAAGATTCAGGATTTTCCATAATTTTGTTAGTAGTAGGCTGTGTAGTGAAAGTAGGAGGCTGGCCTGCCTTGTACGTGTAGTCGTGTACAGAACATTGTTACGGAACTGGATTGGTGTAGGCGGCCAAATGATCAAAGTAGCTGGTCAAATTGGCCGGCGACCGGCTCTTATGGAAAACCCTGAAGATTTATTGAACCTAAAGGCCAAACTGATTTGTAAATGAATTATTGTATATTACTCACAGCCATTTGTAACAAGCATCAGTAAAAAGAACATATCAGTTATTTCATGTTACATTCTAGTTTGTATATCATCTGATAAAATCTGGCTTGTGCAGGTTTCAGTAGCATTTTCTTTCTCACAGGATGCATTCCCAGCGAGGTTTAAGGGTCTTCACTATCTACACCAGCCTTCATTCTTCGACTATGTCTTTTCTATCGTCAAACAGTTTCTGAAGGAAAAGACTGTAAGCAGAGTAGGTATCTAAAGTGCCACGTTATTTGATGTCAAACTGTTCTGTGATTGTGTACCTGGTAGGTGCTGTTAACCAAAGATAAGCTTCTCGGAAATATGAACAGTTTAATGATTGACTTTTGATTAGTAACTGATTGGTCAGTGAAGATCATTTCCGGCAGTATACCATCTGCAAATTTCTTATTACTGATATATGTAGCCAGGTGAGAATTGTTGATGACATCATTGGTCAGTACTGACCTGGATAGGTCATGAAAATGATGTCAAGGACAACTGTATGGCCCCAAATGGTCAATAAAACTTTGAATATTATTAGCATTACAAAATTCTGTCGAGAATGACCCAGATTTCTTTTTAAAATGCAACCAAACTACCCTATACTATCATGCTTTTGTTGCCTAGGATGTAGGTTAATTAGAATAACTTGCTGTGTTTTTAATATTTGTGGTGATATATTGTAGTTACACTGACAAATATCTGTTCACTGTCTTGTCTTTTGACAGTAAATCTCAACTTTTAAGAGTTGAATCATGATATCCTGCCATAAGTACCATACACAGTAGTGTTATTCCCTAAATTACAGAGCTGTTTTACAACAACGAAGCAGCACTATATATAACTAGCTACCCATCAGGCCGATATTGTCGTCATTACCTAGATTCATTGAGTTTAAACACACACACCAACAAAAGTGTACGTACTAGCATTTTGTTCTACTGTACATGCAAACCAGATTTTATAGAGTAACATGGCTCTGGTATAAACACAAAATAAAATGCTCTGAATTAAGAGAATTTACCACAGGAAATTACAGTGTTCAAAAATCTTGGTTTTGTTACCTTTTAGTGCAGGGTTTCTAAATTGATCATATAAACAGAAGAGATTAAATCTTGATGTAACAGTTGTCTATAAATACTTCTCAGATACACAGAATAAATACTGATAAGAAGGAATAATTGTTGTAGTGTGATAAGCATTTACATTGTGATACTGCTATGGTCTCAATCAAATATTTAAATTCCCCCACCAGACACACACATAACACACTCACACAAATAAAGAGTAGGCAGGAAATTGTTTTATCATTTTTGTTGTGATTCTACTGTTAAATGTTCTTGACAGCTTCATTTCCATGGTGAAAAACCTGAAGGTCTGACAGAATATATCGACAAAGCTAACCTTCCAAAAGAATATGGAGGAGAACTACCACCATTCTCAAATAAGGTAAGGTTTCACCTCAAAAATGGATATCATTTTGATTCAAAAGATTCTCAAGACCTTATAACTGAAGAGGCCATCAGTTTACATTGTTTAGTTGTTGTTGAGCACAAAATGACAAATAAACAATTTGTTAATCTGTTTGGACAGTAATCTTCTTACTATTGGTTATGAAGACTGATTTAAAGTCAAATCAAAAACACAAACCATGAAACGACATGTTACAAACAAGACTTAAGATTAAAGAGTTATATGTACAGTCTGAAAGGTCACATGATGAACTCAGTTATCTCCGATCAAAACAGCGACGGGTGGTAGACACAACAGTGAGTGTCGACTAGTGTTAGTTTGATAATCTTTATCTACTTTTCTCGGAGAGTGTTATAATTTCGTGAAGAGTCTGATTTTAAATATTATAATGCTTGCCTAAAATGAAACACATGGGTAAACGTAACAAAATTTAACTATTTAGTCCCTTTATCATCAGTTTGTTTCCTGAGTTTAAATGTATAATCACTTTGTGATCGTTTAGGACTGGGCAGAGACATTGCTGAAATGTGATGAACAATTTGACCAAGAAGCAAAATACGGCCTTCTGGACTCTACAACCAAGGCAACTAAATCTTCCAAAGCAGACGCCATGGAGTGTCTAGTGGGGTCTTATCGTAAACTGGATGTGTAAAGCCTGGAAAAAAAAAACGGTAAGACTTCAAACCATGGAGGTCACTGTCTTCATATCAGAAGATTACACACAATCGCGAATTTATACATGTCTTGACCTACCAATCAATTAAACTGCATCATATCTGTTACTCTAGGACTTGTCAGTGACATTAGGACCCTAAATTGTTAGGAAATGATGTGTGAAAATAAAAATTGGCCAAAATAATTTCATTATTTATGGTACTGGAGCATTTTGAAATACTCTCCGGTAAAAGAAGGCTAGGTCTACTGCAAAGAATGATTTCTTCTAAAGAGCACAATAAGACAATTTCACTTAGAGATGTATTCAACACAAGAAATGATAATACACATCCAAAATTTCGATTGGAAAATTTCATTAAGTAAAAAAAAAAGTTTGAAAAATTTCACTTGTAGCTTCAAAGTTTGGGGTTTTTTTTATCTTTCTTAAGTATTTGGTAGTTTATGCCAGGTGTAAAGTGATCCATGTTTGTAGTATTGAAAGAGACAAATATATTTAGTTTTTGTTAAGGCAAAGATACAAAGATTTTCAGTATAGGAAGAAGATAAAAGATTTATAAGATGTTACGTTGTACAAGTTGTACTAGATTTGTTTTTTTGTGGTGTCTGGATTTTGTATTTTGTTGGTTAATGAATGAGATATTTCCTATACATGTATTTATATCTCATTTGTTTCTTTCAGATTTGAAGCTACCAACGGAGAAAAAAAACCAGAATATCTTGAATTTTTGTATGGTGAAACAACACTGCTGTACTGGTCCGTCCATTACACGAAAATATCTCCTAAACATTCCAACGACGGATCTCATTTCTCCAGTTATTGATCTTAAGGTACACAATATTTAATCTCAAGTAAGCCAGGGAAAACACCTTACTTCTGACTCAAATTGAGTGGATGGGCTGATTACAAGACAATTAATAGCAATCAATGTGGAGCTAAGTGTCAAATTTTAAGAATATCTCTCTGTTAGCTATATCTGTTTTTTTTTATTAGTAAGGTAATTAGACCATCAGATTTATTTTGACAATTAATATTTTTATTTCTTTAATAAGTAAGTTGGCATAAATGGGGTATTTTAAAAATCCAAATTAAACCTTACCAAAAGCCATTTTCTTAACAAACTGTTAATATCTAAGACATATGCCTACTTTACTACTCAAAAGAGTACAAGTTTTTCTGAAGATTTCACAATCTGACAATATCAAGTGTGAAAAATTTCATTCTTTGATTGGCGATGGTGGAATTTTTTCTTCAACAACCTAAAAGAAAAAATTGAGACACCAAATGAAGTAAATTCCACGTCAACATTGACCTACTTTTCTGTTTCCTTGTCATATGAGTTGATTTATAAAACTAATCAAACATGAAGGTTTATCATTATAGAGCTAGGCGTCATACTGTTGTGGTTTCACTAGAGCAAAGAATCCTGGTCATATTGTTTGTTGTGTAATAAAACAGTTAACAATGGCCATAATCAAACCAAGACAATCAATCTTCAAACTTAAGTGTTTAAGAGATGTGTTCTTCTCTCGGGACGAACACACAATAAATTTAAAAGTTAACGTTTTGAGTGTCTTTGTCGAAAAATCATATCTCCCATGCAAAAAGATATCAGACTTGCAGATATTTAAATTCTTGTTAGAAAGCCCTCTTTAGATTATTTTTTTAACATTTTGAGTTATATCTGATTTTAAAGATATGCCTTTTTTCTGGATGAAAAAGATGTATCTGTCACAGAATCTCAGGAGCAAAAAAAATTCTACGGGAATCTGTTAATTTTTCCTCCATTTAAACACTGCTAACTCATTCTGTCAAAATAGTTTTCATGGGTTCGTTATTACTGCCCATTAGTTTTCTTTTGTGGAACTCGGGTTTACTTTGAAAGTGCGATACAGGTGCCCATTACTAAAAAATGTTGTAGATGTGGATAGTTGGAACAATCAAATATATATAGGGGTGGTAGGGATCAATCTAAAAATATGTAGAGGAAGTTGGAACAGTCCAGTATATTTAGGGGTGGTAGGGATCAATCTAAAAATATGTAGAGGAAGTGTGAGTGATAGGGACATTCCATGATAAGGTTAAGATCTGATGGGTAGGGGTGGTAGGGATAATTGTAGGAGGAGGGGGGCGGGGGAGGAAGGAATAGTCCAATTTGGTAAGTTAATCATGAATTCCTTTAATATGTAAGTTGAAATGTGATTGTAGAAAAATTGCATAATAATTCTTAACAAATGATACAATTTAGAAAAAAAACATATTTCCATCATAAATATCCATCTGGAGGGCTTCATAAATCTTTGTGACATTTTTTGTAAAATGTTTGGATTGACTCCAGATTGTCTTGGGGTTTTTTATGTGTATTTTCCATTAAAGAATTGGGATATTACCATTGTCTCAAATTATAAGTATCACTTGGAACACGGGATACTTAATCTGTGTATCATGTCATATACTGTTTTACCAAAAACATTTTTGATACGAACCGTCTTCCATTAGTTTTGGTATCTTTTGTGATCAGCATTGATCTCGGAGTTGACAGTGGAAAGCATATCTAGAAGTGACTTCAATCAGTCTGTTTTGAAAATAAAAAGCTGGATAGACTCTTACAAAATGAAAAGAATGGCTGTTGTGTAAGTTAAAAGGTGGAAATAGAACACAATATTTAGAAGAACACAATATTTAGAAATTGAACACAATATTTAGAAATTGAACACAATATTTAATAGAAACACAATATTTAGAAATTGAACACAGTATTTAGAAATTAAACACAATATTTAGAAATTGAACACAATATTTCGTTGTTAAAATGTTGTTGTATCCGATGTGTTTATCATTTCAATAATATCTCTACAATGTGCAGTTGTTGTGTCCGATGTACAAATCCTTTCTTTAACATCACTATACTGATAGTAAAACAGGCCTAACATGGTGTTTACATGGAATACTCCACAGGATGTTATAATGTTTTAGAAGTCTATGATTTTGAAGGTACCAAAGTTGTTGATAAAGTCATTCGTTAGGGCTGCTTATGATATCAGCAAACTTTATTTTATAAAATCACACCCCTGAAACTGTTTTTAGCTTGCATAATATCCAGACTTGGTATAATTTAACATTCAACATATACAATATTCTCTTTACTATTGAGTTGTCTGCTTGTAAGGATGAATGATTTTAATAATCCATATTTTACAAAATTGCAAAACACATATAATTTTATATGCAGATTGTACTGATAATATTTAATGTTTCATGATTTTTGTGTAATTGTGGTTTTGCTGATAATGAAGTTGAAATGAAATGATCTCATCAACACTGATGGTGATATGATGGTAATATGATGGTTATATGATGGTTATATAACGATAATATGATGGTGATATGATGGTAATTCGATGTTTATAGGATGGTTATATAGCGATAATATGATGGTAATATGATGGTAATTTGATGTTTATAGGATGGTTATATAACGATAATATGATGGTGATATGATGGTAATTCGATGTTTATAGGATGGTTATATAACGATAATATGATGGTGATATGATGGTAATTCGATGTTTATAGGATGGTTATATAACGATAATATGATGGTGATATGATGGTAATTAAGTAACAGGTACTCTGAACATGCTATCAGAATCTTAAGTAAAAAGAACTATTGATAACCATAGAATTTATCTATTTACATTTCATGGGACTCAATGGTTTGTATCTGTACCAGTAGTTCCATAGATTTTGAGAAACATGATGGAAATCCTAGATATTTACAAATTAACTCGGAATATGTCAAGATTACAAATTAACTTGGAGTGTGTAAGGTTTGATTTTATTTTGATATAAAAAAATACTTTTCCTTGTTTTTCTTGACATAGAAACCTGGTATTTGCTCATAGTAAACTTATACACTGTATATAGTATGATTTGTATGTAATTACTGTTAGCAAAGCAAGTAAAACTGTTCATTAAGTAACACATCTGTCCCTAATTATAGAGTCATTGTCTCTATTTCTGGCTAACTCTCAGTACCTTTGTTTGAAAGTTGATGCAGTAAACATATCAGTAATCTTATTTTGCAGTTTTTGGGTTAAATTGATAATAATTGCTGTTCCTGTATATTGTTTTTAGATCATTTATTGCAGATTCATAAATTTATTATTGAGCTTATTTATAATAATTTGTTTAATAATGTGCTTAAATTTTATCGTGCCAAAAGTGTATATTGATGGAAGATATTCTGATCAAGACGTGTTTTTAAGAAGCAAGGTCATACATTTCTGAACAGACTTGTTATAACTGTCGTCCAAAAACAAATAGTGACATATGTAATGATAGGTGAATTGAAGGATAACCCATAGTTATCTCTTCTAGATCAGATTTTGATAAAGTTTTTCTTTTTTATGCCTATCTTGATATCTCATTAGATATTCATTTATGAAAAAAAATTAATAAAAAAATTAATTTAAAATAGAAAATTAGGAAATGTTAAATTGTTGTGTATTACATTTTTTTTTATCAAATCTTGGAATAAACAAATTCTTGAGAAAGAAATTTTGTACAACAAAATGATTAGGTTTTCAATTTTCTGTTTACGAGCTTTCCTTACAGCTAGGTTATTCATATTCTTTTCTACAAGTGTTTTATTCTGAAGCAGAAGAATTAAACTAAGTTCACACTGAAATTTTATTTCATTGGATCCTTATAAAGCTTAAATTATTTCAAATACACACAACTCTCTTGTTGTAACTTTATATAATTTACATAGAAGGTAAACAAATATTTTTATAAATCCTAAATTTCTGTTGTCAGAAAATCATCTCATTTTTTTCAGTAGAATTTATTTTTTCTGTAAGATTCGTATTTTGTACAAAAACATGACAATTACGACATATTTCCAACGAGTTCTCGTATTATTGATTGTTACTCAATCAAAAATCTTAGATGTCTAAGTATTTACAAAAACATTACATATGTATGTAATCATTGTTAACTCATTATTTTTTTCTATATGTAATGTTTAATGTTACTTTAATTATGTCTTTTCTTAATCACCTTTTCATATTTACATCTGATGTAATGGTTGTAAACTTGTGATACATATATAATTCATGTCCCTTGTTTAATATTCTGTTGTTATAGATATCCACCATGAAAGTTATTTTAATTCTTACATGTGTTGAACATGACAAGATTCGGTAAAACCATAAATACTGTACTATATTTATATGCTGAGTACAAAACTGGTTGTGCTGCTTAAATTCATATCACAGACCGATACCTGTATATTGGTTAGGAAATTATCCTCCAGAAATACATTTGTGATCGTCGTCGACTGAAGCATGACCATGTTAATGTTCTCACTCTCATATAAGCATAATGTCATTATTGGCATTGAACGGTTGACTGATGTTAGTGGCATGAGATGTTTGGTCAGTCCTGGAAGACAAATCAATATTATCCTCATTGTTAGAGAAATAATCTGTATCTATTGTTATATATTGTTTTCCATTCATTATTTCTGAATTATGACTATAAACAGTGTTAATCATTGTTTGTCTTGCTATTACATTGATTTACATCATCACTCAGCTCATTTTACACCCAACAAGCTCCTGTAGAGTTACATTCAAATAAATTACTGTCGCCATCTTTAATGTTAGAAATTATATTGATCATGAACACCAACCTGTGTCCCTGTGTAGTTCTTAGAGTGATAACTTAAGAAATGGGTTATTTTTAATATGGGATTGATTGATGTCCTTTCTTTTGAATAGAAAACAAGAGACATTTCAGTAGTCACTAAACAGTTTAAAACGAATTTGATCACTAATCAAAGATTGACTTTAATTACTTTTTAGGTTATTGAGTCATGGCACCATTAAAAGGAGATTTAAGTGAAAAAAGAAAATGTTGTCAAATGAAAATACTTGTTTCATAAAGAGTTAAATCACATAAAGTTGTTTTGACTAGACTGTTGAAAAACATTGTGATAGTATTTTGTTTAGACTTGTTGTGCTAGTAACAAACATTAAACATTTAATGGTGAAACTGTAATATAATGAATGTTTCTTTGTGAGTTTTGAATCTATTCGACACTTTACTATCATCATGGTGAAGTTTATTTTTCAGACCTATCTGACCCAGTTTAATGTCATCGTGACATAAGTTATTTCCACCTTCTCAGTTTATCTTTCATTTTATCTGTTTCTTTTTGTGTTTTTGATCAGGGAATGAAATAAATCCAATTTTGCTTGGCAGGAATTGATCTTTAATGATTTTGATGCTATAAAATAATGATTACATGAGTAATTTTATCCGAAATGAATTCTTGATTTTCTTTGCTTTTGATACAGATTTACATAATCATGTACATTACCTTTGTCTGTTATATATTCTATGAATGTCATTCCATTATTTATTTATTTTCTTCGCTGAAATAACCTCAAGTGTCATGACATCACAGTACTTTTTGGCATCACAAAGTTCATAAGGTTCATAGAGTTGTACCAATGTCAATATTTGCATATAAAATTTGTGATTTAAGAAGTATGGCGGTGATGTTTGTTTGTTTTTCGTGACTATTTATAGTTGTACCCATTCTATGTTAAGCTTTTTGAAAACAGTTATTTACCCATATCGGGTTTAAAAATGACAATTAATATCAATATTTTTTGTACAAAGTTTGGTGTCTGGGTAATTTGGGTCACTATCGTCACAGACAGAAACTTCTAAATTCTGATACTAGATCTGTTTTGTAGTTTTCTTCCTTAACTTCTCATAGTGATGGTTTTTTTATATTTATAAGAGTTGGCATTTTTGTCTATATAACGTAAATCTCCTAAAAAGCATTTCCCGTCTTTAAATGTTTTTCACTTTAATTTAGAGTGATGCTTACTCAGTACTGACATTTTACAATCATTTAGGTGTGTTATTACAGAATTAAAGAAACCATGACAATGAAATATCTTAGTTACAGTGTTTGGCTACTGATGATGTACAATATTATATTTATGTTTTTATCTTATTGTGATTATAGAAATTCACCTTTAGCAATTTATTACAGTTTATATAAATCACTTCTGTTTGCGGAGAGTACCAGGGAAAGCCCACATGGTTGGGGAAGTAGTCCCATACTTTTCTGGGAGGGAACCGAAGTACCAGGGAAAGCCCACATGGTTTGGGAAGGTAGTCCCATACTTTTCTGGGAGGAAAAAACCCACATGGTTTGGGAGGTAGTCCCATACTTTTCGGTTAGGAAATATACTTTTCTGGGAGGAAACCGGGAAAACCCACATGGTTGGGAAGGTAGTCCCTTACTTCTCTGGGAGGAAACCAAAGTACCAGGGAAAGCCCACATGGTTTGGGAGGTAGTCCCATACTTTTCTGGGAGGAAACCGAAGTATCAGGGAAAACCCACATGGTTGGGAAAGTAGTCCCATACTTTTCTGGGAGGGAACCGAAGTATCAGGGAAAACCCACATGGTTGGGAAAGTAGTCCCATACTTTTCTGGGAGGGAACCGAAGTACCAGGGAAATCCCACATGGTTGGGAAGGTAGTCCTATACTTTTCTGGGAGGGAACCGAGGTACCAGGGAAAGCCCACATGGTTAGGAAAGTAGTCCCATACTTTTCTGGGAGGAAACCGAAGTACCAGGGAAAACCCACATGGTTTGGGAGGTAGTCCCATACTTTTCTGGGAGGAAACCGAAATATCAGGGAAAACCCACATGGTTAGGAAAGTAGTCCCATACTTTTCTGGGAGGAAACCGAAGTACCAGGGAAAACCCACATGGTTTGGGAGGTAGTCCCATACTTTTCTGGGAGGGAACCAAAGTACCAGGGAAAGCCCACATGGTTGGGAAGGTAGTCCCATACTTTTCTGGGAGGAAACCGAAGTATCAGGGAAAACCCACATGGTTGGGAAAGTAGTCCCATACTTTTCTGGGAGGGAACCGAAGTACCAGGAAAAGCCCACATGGTTTGGGAGGTAGTCCCATACTTTTCTGGGAGGGAACCGAAGTACCAGGGAAAACCCACATGGTTTGGGATGTAGTCCCATACTTTTCTGGGAGGAAACCGGAGTATCAGGGAAAACCCACATGGTTTGGGAAGGTAGTCCCTTACTTTTCTGTTCAGGGAATCGAACCTCGAACGCCTAGATGAAAGGCAAGCTTGTTACTATTACCGCACCTGTTGAGTATGATTTTTCACTTGTTTATCGAATCAAAAACATATAGAAGCTTAGCTTTGTGAGTTTTTATGAGTCAGGTGGCAGTGTGACATCTGGAAACTAGGACATGTTGAATAGGGAGCTTTTAATGAAAACTTGTAAAACCTGCTCAAATGCATTTAGTATGTAAATCCTCAAAGTTATTTGTTAATTGCTGCAGGGATATATGTTTATATATCACTATGTATATGGTGACAAATCTTATTTTAACCCAGTTATCTTTATAATCCATTGGTTTGTTATCTGCCATCTATAAATAGATAAATTGTTGAAAATAGTTTTAAGTGCTATATAAGAATACATTGCTTCTTTTGTCTGCCTATTTCCTAACTCGGACATGTTTGATGAACTCATAGGTAACGGATGTCAGACGCGTACATTGTATATCTAAACATTGTAACATAAAATACATTGTATGGTCTGAATGTCAGGTTGTTTATGATTATTGATCTCTGTCTATTAAACTATTACTAAGAGAAGTGGGCGATTTTGAAAATTGTCCGCCATTGGTTTTTATGGTGTAACATCAATATGTTCCGGTCTGGACTTTAGCCCTCCCTTCTAGTAGTTGAGAACGTTCCTTTGTTGTGTGATGTGGTCACGTGTTATTCAAATGAATGGCATTAAAATTTCAGTAAACATTATACGTATGTAATCAGTGTATTAAAGTTATCAATAGTTATTCATATCATGATTGATAAATAAAATATTATTTTAGCTAGAAATTGTAGTTGTGTGATGTTTTTGTTTGTGTTTCTGTTGAACACCTTTTAGTAGCACGGCCAGCAGAAAATGCATATAATTGTAACGCCTGTAGTACCAGGGGTAACGGGAGACAACTCGTGTGATCTTAGTGGCATATAATTGGGGGAAAACGGTTCCCCTGTAAGTTATCGCTTTAATTGTTCCATTTTCACTTTTTATATTGATACCGGTCCCCATGTGGAAGATATGAAACACGTAGTTAATTATAAGCCTTAATGAATGTATATGTATTCTTGTGTCTATGTGGTTCAGTAGGATTATTCTTCGTCCCAGCAATAGTGGCACTTTCAGGAAATGTATCTACATCTTTTTCTTAGTACTTGTTGTCATACTGGGAAACAAAGACATCGCAAACCAGATGTTGGTTACACTAGAGACCTAAATAACAGCCTGTTTACTCCGGTCTTTGGTCAAAACAGATACTACTTTTAGTGTAATAATGTTTTATTTTAAAAGTGTAATACCTGAGAGGAAAGGCGCGCTACAATTTGCTATTCCTGGCCGAAGTTACGCGTCAAGATTCCTCTTTACAAATTCAAATAACATGATTTTCAAATCGTTATAACATATAAATATAATGTAGTTTAGTCCTCAGCATTCTGAGTAAAAATCTGCCTGCAACAAATGTCATTCCAGGACTGGGAGGGAGGGAGGGAGGGAGGGAGAGAGGGAGAGAGAGAGAGAGAGAGAGATTCAAAATTTGAATTCAATGAAAATCAAGAAATTCTGCAAGGTTTATACAAGAGCCGAATATTTCTAACCAGTATCTATCCTGATTTTTGATGTCACAGTTGTCTTCTCCTATTCTCGGTAACTAAAGTGCATCGTATAAGTAAATGGAGAACCCCTTTCTGTCCTTTTAGGAAACAAAATAAAATTCGTCTCATGACTAAATCGAAAAGTCACTTTTACGATTTAAAGTTTCAATGATCATTAGAATGGATGGTTCTGTTTGGAAAAACATATCACATACTTTCTACATAATGTCGTCGTTGTATCGGGAGATATTTACCCTTCCGGAGCACCTGGTTCTAGTTATTTCGAACCTATGCAATTGATGCTGAGTTTTCTGTAAGGTTTTGTTACTTATATACAATTTATAGCAGATATCAATTAAATAAAATGGTCGCTACCCACGGACATATGAAGAGAAATTATGTTTCCAGGATATAAAGATTTTGTAACCTACCGTCCTGTATACTATAAAAGTGTACCACATAAGCCATCATCCCCAGTATATCATAGCATTATACTACATAAGCCCTCTTCCCCAGTATGCTATAAAAGTATGCTACAAAAAACACTTTCCTGTATATTATAACATTATACAAATCAAGCCCCCTCCCAAGTATACTATAACATTATACAAATCAAGCCCCCTCCCAAGTATACTATAACATTATACTGTACAAGTCCTCCTCCCCAGTATACTATGATATTATACTACACGAGCCCTCCTCCCCAGTATACTATGATATTATACTACACAAGCCCCCTCACCAGTATACTATGATATTATACTACACAAGCCCTCCTCCCCAGTATACTATGATATTATACTACACAAGCCCTCCTCCCCAGTATACTATGATATTATACTACACAAGCCCCCTCCCCAGTATACTATGATATTATACTACACAAGCCCCCTCCCCAGTATACTATGATATTATACTACACAAGCCCTCTCACCAGTATACTATAACACTATACAAAACAAGCCCTCTTCCCATTATACTATACTATACAAATTTCTTGTATATATATATTACATCAATAAAATTAATAATAAAAACTCACACAATATTTAATATTAAATAATTCATTATTTATTCACACGCATTTCAATCAATCATTCGATATAAATATAAAACATTTTCTCCAATCAAATAGTCAAATATTCTTCCTTTCGTCCTTTAATCATCCAGTGTCTCTTTAAGTCTATCACCATCTTCCGTTCCAGATTCGATCTCTAAACGCTAATGACGTCATTTAAAACAGGGCAACACATTCACACATACTATCATCGATAGTTTACACCAAACTTTTTACTTTAAAATGTTCAAAACTTGTCATGATATACAGTTTAATGTCTCACTTTATTTCGGAAGTGCTTAACAAGTGCTGGGTTTTGTAAACTTTTATTTATTTATTTATTTATTTATTAATTAATTAATTAATTAATTTATTTATTTATTTATTTATTTATTTTTGTCTATCGAATAGTTTGATGGAATTATCATCAAATAATTCAAAACTATTTTCGTTTTTCCAAATGTACACTTTGTAAGTCGAATTATTTGAAATATTTCATCAAATGCACCTTGGTGTCTTTTGTAAATGTATATAATTCTAACTTTTGATTATCCTTTCGCACACGTTGTTGAGTAAATTTCAATAAAGTTCGTTTAGCAATTTTGTTTAGGTGCGCATTGGTTTTCAGGAAACGACATAAAATGCAACGGATATCAAATATAATTTTGAAAATTGACACACAAGTGAATATCATCTTTGAGAATTAGATACAGTGGAGCCAAACAATGAATTAAACTACATCATACGGCTGTTTCGTCCCTCTAGGATTCGGCAGTGATATTACATCATACGGCTGTTTCGTCCCTCTAGGATTCGGCAGTGATATTACATCATACGGCTGTTTCGTCCCTCTAGGATTCGACAGTGATATTACATCATACGGCTGTTCCGTCCCTCTAGGATTCGACAGTGATACTAAGGGTATAAATGTTGAAGCCTATGAGACGACTGAGGAAAATCTAAAGTGATCGAAAGAAAAGTCAAAATCTAGATGGGGAGGCGCACCGGCCCTATAATTAAGTAAATTTCGTAATTTCCATATATCTGATGATTCTAGAACAACGACAAATTGTTGACAGTAAAAAGATTAATGTAAACTATTAAATTTCATATCTAATTAAAAACTGTTCAGAAAACAAATAGACAATGTTTTACTATAATCTATTTAGAAGGATTTGTTGCTGGATATGAAATAATCGTTTAGCTTCTCTATAAATCTTTAAATCTGGAAGCAATGCTTCCTGAACACGGTAATCATCTCTCAAATCTATCATGTCATCTTCCATGTCGTCATCTTCGTCAGGCGTATCATCTGCCTCTGATACAACTTGATTATCTTTGTTATAACTTTGATTGTAGCTTGAATCATCGCCATTGTTGTTGTTTCGTTGATTGCACTTGGTGAAGGGAAGTTCAAATGCTTTTTCAAACATTAACAAACTATTATCTACATCAGTACCGAGACCGATCACAGCGAACCATTCAGAAAGATGGCTGACAATGTAGTCTGTGATATGACCGATGTCTGTGTCACTTAACGCTTGACCTAACAACAGTTTCTGTCTATACCAGCAAGGATTCTTCTGATCTTGATCACGAAGAGTGGAATTCATTTGTGATATATGGAGATATTTCAACTGTTTTGATTTGTCATACGAACACATTTCTGGAGAAAACAGTAATTGATACAATAGAGCACCTTTCTGTAGGAGTATCCACTCCCTTAGGGAAACAGACTTTGATTGAAATACAGTACATTTTTCATGAAATGGATTTGCTTTGCAAAATTCATATCCAGACGTTGCTATCTCAAATGGATCATGCATCATAATAAAATGGGCACATTTAATGTTAATTTTATCACAAGCACCAAACGAGTAAGGGCCACGATGCACCTTTATTCGTTCTTTGAATGAAACGGAATCTTTTGTTCCTGATTCCCACAACAACCGGTTTTGCACGTGCATTACCGGTGACATGGACAGATCGTTATCATATGATATATTTGACAAACAAGTATGAAGTAGTGAATCTGACGTGGCAAATTCCTGCTGGAGAAACACTATGGCAGAATCTTGTATTACAGGCTTGGGGGATTTTCTCAGATATACATTTGGCAAGAATTTGTCGGAGTGTCTTTGAAGCCATGGCACTTTTGAGTAGACTGTTCGTCGATCAACTTCATGTTTCGAGTCCTCCGATATCTGTCTCTCCTTTTCCAGACTACTGAGAGATCTAACGAGACGCCGCAGCTCTACGTCATCTCTGAAACAAGAGAATAGAAATATTAATATTCAATGATATATATTGAAGAACATTATAGTGCCAAAGTCTCATCCAGCCAACCGCCATTTATAGATTATCTTCGTCAATAACTGCAGAGGAGATATAACAGATTTCCTCTATTCACACGGTCCAGGCTGTTGTATTAGTAAGGTTAAGCTGTATATGTTCGAAAGATGCTGTCAGATTTGCCATGGACCTTGCGTGAGATTGTCATTAAACAAAAAGGTATTATTTGTAAACTGGATCGGAATTGTAGTAAAACTTGTTTTCTTGTTCGAGAAGTGTAGGTAAATGAAATCTTTTCCTGCAGAGTGTTAGCAAACTCCAACGTCTTAAAGTTTTCTAGTGTCATTGGACTATTCGCCAATATTAAAGCCCCAATGCACGCAACTTTCGTGGCAAACTACTTCAAGCCATATCTAGCGCTATTGTCATATAAAAGCGGAGTTGAAATTCACTGTTTGTAAGCATGTCTCAATTTACGGTCGTTTCCGAACCGAAGTCAGTAAATCCTTCAGATGTTTGTGTTTAACACTAAACGTAACCCTCATTACGAGCCCACGAATGACTCTATCTCTGACGTGACATCACGGAAAGCGCATAGCACGTGCGACATCATACTTAACTTGTTAACACAAGTTACAGACTCAGATTGAATTGGTATCATGATTTTTCGTTTAACATAGGTTTGTATGTTCAATTGCACCCAATGTTATGTCCCCACCAACAGATTCACAAAGCTGAAGTTATATATACATAATGATCAAGTAAAGGTATTCTTCTAAACTTTCTTAATCACGTAAATTTGCAAAATGATTGGAGCTTAGCAGAATGTATTCCTGGGCAAAGTTGTATCAATATCGAAATACACGTGTTAAATGTTGTAGTCACATTGTGATGAATGTTTTAAACTTTCTGTATATTGGTATTCATATCATCTCAAGCGCTAAAACAGATTCCCTTTACACTATTGATGTGGTTTTGTCGTTCGTTAAATATCTTATGTATTGTATTGTTATAAAGTTTGTTTGTTTTTGTTAAATTAGGAATGACATTAACAACAGCAGTCGGAGTTATCTACCCTTGTTTCTACACCATCTGTTTATCGAATAAATGTCACACTCCAGGCGGTTTGTAATATTGAAAAAAATGCTGTCTTAGTCACAGTCTGTTGTTACTTATACTTAAAATGACTGTTTATCGACTACATTTTACCGCCATCCACACACACTGATATCTCCGTCCGTGTTTACTCTCAATGTGACATTTAATCAATAACGGATTACTTAGGAAGCAAACCAGTTCAAGGTTTCAACTCACACAGCCATATAATCTTTAGAAATTAAATCGCAAACGTAACAGCAGTTCTAACGAACAAATCTCGTCCCATGGATTTACGTCAACATTGTATATAAATTCAATGAATCTTGTAATCAACATTTTATTGGTGGGGATGAACGTCACAGCGTACTTTCTGTTCATTGCCTGGTTAAAAAAACTACATAATAATAATTATGAATGCTATTTAATCTGCTGTATAATTTAAAAAAAAATGTACTTTAAATGCAAAATCTGCGAATTACATTTCTAAGTAAACGATATTCACCTTTATGTAGAAAAAATACCAGATACAAAATATCGCTATCGATCATTATATAAAAACCTCTTCATGGTCACATCTGTTGATACCGACTATCTTTATACAAAAAACAACATACACGAAATTTAACAATAACAATGGCATCCAATATATAGTTGAAACCGTCTGATGAAGTTTTTCCATAGCTTTCAATGACAGATAATGAAAAAGAATAAACGTATTAAAAAGATGAACTTGTAAAATCACGGTAAAGCACATCGTATGTTATGTTAGATATATTGCTTTACAGTATAATTTGATAAGTATAAGAGAGGTAGGCCTCTATAATCGGATAAAGTATTCTGTTTATGATGTATCGTACATTTATTATGAAATGTATTTTAAATGTATGTTGTGAGGTCAGCAGGCTAACCTGAAGTTAAACGAAAGGATCTTTTTACGATTAAAGCTGATTGAAACAAACATCACCAGAGGTACAGCGGCTGTATTGTCAAAGATTGTGTCATCAAAACTACACAGGCACAGCGGCTTTTACATAAATCGACACGAGCTGATATCGTTGTAAGAATGCAACACAATTATTGTATGACTGCATCGTACTTGTTGACCTCTAGGTGCACTCGAAAGTGTGCCTGGAGAATAAAAACTATGTTTGAAATCTTTCACCCTAGTGTGTTTGGAATATAACAACGAAATGTAACATATCGAATATAAGATGAATCAGTTTCTGTATATGTAACTATATAAATTACCTTAGTCACGTGCTCCTTTCTCTTGATATTGTAAATAATGCTCAACTTGTCATGCAAGAACCGATTATAAATAATGTTTTCAGTTGTTTCAAAAAGAACAAAATATCCTTTAAAAGCATCAATGAAAAATTAAAAAAAAACACGAAAATATTGTTCGACAAAAAAGACATATTTTCCTTCCAGACGTAAAAACATCAGTATAATCTTACATAACGAGGATGAACTTATTCATTACTTACCTATAAACGCACGAAATAGTTATCATAACAGACGAAGTGATAGACTGCTACATACATCTCTGATGTACGCTGAAAATAAATGCCTCGCTTAAAGCAAATATTTTTTCAGTATGGAATCAACAATGAATCGTCCAAGTAATTGCATAGGTTCATAATAATTTAATGCACGTGCATTTCATTTATAATCGGATCTTACATGACAAGTTGAACAATGCTATTTAAACCTCCTCCTCAGCAGGTATTTGTAGCTACGTGTCCATAGACAGACTGTTCGTGCCAGGTATCATTACTATAATATATAGCTTGTGTCAAAAACTAACGAAATGAAACAGGAATATAAGGTTACGCACTTAATGACAGTGAATGGTCTGTGGTGCTTGAAATTGCTATTGATAAAAGTTTAATAGGATGTATTTGTTCAGTGGTTTTTTTACCTTTCAGAATTAATTACTTATGCCAGGACATCACATTGATATATTATAGTGGTTTTCAAAATTACGAATCACTGGGAAAATGAAAAAAATCCTGACGTTTGAATTGCGATCACGACAACAAAAAACGAAGATAAACCCTATGGAATAAAATATTTTTTTCCAACAGCAAGGTATTCGAAACATAAAAAGTTATTAGATTGATGTGACAGCCAGTAAATAGGTTACGTTTTTACAGCGTCCTTTATGTAATATTGATTCATATTGTGTATTCTACCGCAGTGATGTATAGCGTTGTGATAACTCCAACTATTCATTATTCAGTAGGATATTTAAAAACAATCTGATGGAAATGTATTTTATACACAAAGTTAACGTAGTGAAATAGAAGAAGTTGTTTCATATCTATTTATATACATACAATAAAACTTGTGTTTACTGAAAATGCAGAACAAATGTCCAAAGCAGTGTACGATGCTGAATGTTTTATGGTCACTAGCCCGGTATCATTTATGAGAACGCGACATTATCGCGATGGATTTAGTCAATTATCGCTCAGCCTTAAAAAAATAAGAATACTAGCATGTTTGTCTTGTTTTATCTTCTTTTGCTCGCATACTGGCTTTCTTTAGAATGTTTTAGAACTAGTAATTGGTTTTTCCCCTCGATATTTTGATGTTTTTCATATGATTCTATCTCTGTTGAGTAGTGCTTGTATGAGCGTACAACTTGAAAACTTTTGGAAAATATGACTTGAAAACCGATCACTCGCAAATGTTTTCAATTCACCTTCCCGCAATGCTATAAAAACATGTGGCAGGTCATATCCTGAACTAAGTAATCGTGATGGAAAATCCGTATTAGCTAGATGGAAAATCTAGATAAGAAAAGGAAAGGAACACGTTATCTCCTTGGAGTATATATAGGTTAATTATCATTTTCTCCGTATTCAATGTTCATTAATATATCTGATGAATTCGTTTCATGTTCACCGTCTCATTTACTTTACGACAATTAAATTTTCAAACAAAGGTTTATTGGCATACGTCATCGATAAAGCGGAAAACGCCTTCTCTTCCGCAACATCTGGTCCTTTTCTCCTTGTACTCTTTCTAGAGTTTTGATGTATTTTTTTTTTGACCCATGTTTTGTGTACAAACTAAGATTCTGTTGACATGCCGACATTTTCTTTGTTACTTCTGTGTTGATTGTTATTTTGGACATGCAATAGTTGATGGAGGGAATCAAACGTTTGATTGCCGTTTTATCGCCAACTACAATTTTGTCATTTAAGGAGAGTGCATGTGCTTTTGGAAAGAGATCAGTTACTATCGTTCATCTTCTATGTAAGTTGTTTTTACAACGATTGAAATCTGAAATAGAAGTTAAATATAAGTCCTTACATCAAATCATTTAGAAGACCAGTCACACATATAGCTTATTGATTATCAATAGTATTAAATGTATATTACCAGAGACGTACATAACACATTATAATGTTATATACGTCTCTGATATTACCAACCCGAAGAAGACCAGTCACACATATAGCTTATTGATTATCAATAGTATTAAATGTATATTACCAGAGACGTATATAACACATTGTAATGTTATATACGTCTCTGATATTATCAACCCAAAGAAAATGCTCAGAGATACTGAAATTTTCGGGTTTTTAACCTTTAAGCAAAACTAAGAATCCTTAGATAAATGATTGATTTCTGGGCGAATTTCACTTGTAGGTATCTAGGTTTCAGACTTCCTCGAGGGGAAAACAGAAAATAAAGCCTCTCCAGAGAAAACAACCTTTTAAACATGTGACTTATTTCATAAAAGAAAAACTACAAGTTTCCAACTAGATAATCATTTCTAAATCGACACCACCACCTAGAAATAGTAGATGCTTCTTATCATCGTCGCGGTTGAACACTGAAGCTTACAATGATATTCAAGT